TACACTAACTTAAACTTCCTCTGCCCTGAATGAGCAAATAATTAAGCATTATTTTCCTCCTAGACGATAATAATTAGCATAAAAACAAAAAACCAAACCCACTGCCACCGAGTCGATTCCAATTCATAGCGACCCTACAGGGCAGAAATAGAACTGTACCATAGGGTTTCCAAGGAGTAGCTGGTGGATTCAAACTGCCAACCTCTTGGTTAGCAGCCAAACGCTTAGGGTCTAAAGCAGCTATAGGTGCTTTAAAAATAATCTTTAATAACCACAATCTAGAGAAATTTAAGTTATTTAAATTTAACATTTGAGGACTGGCAACAGCAATAACACAAACCTTTTCCGACTTACTACTATGGGCCAAGTACTTTTAGGTATGTCATGAATGACCTTTTATTTAATCCTCAAAACAAAGTAGGTAAATACCATTACCCCTGTTTCAGAGATGAAGAAACTGAGGCTTAGTAAAGCTAAGAAATTTGCCCAAGGCCACACAGACGAAAACTGGTAGAACTGGATTTTTAAATCAGTTCTGACAGACTCCAAAGCCCCAGCTTTTAACCAATAAACTAGTGCTTCTGAAAGTGTGATTTAGATTATCTTCATCAGAATTACTCGGACCTTGTAAAAACACTCATTTCTCATAAATTACACATTCTGTGGTGAGATCCAGGAATCTGAATTTTTGACAAGTTTCTCAGATAATTCTAATACATGTTACAAGGTGAGAAACACTGCACTCTACTACACTGCTTCTTACTATATACACTAAATTACTTTAGCACTTGGGAATGATTTTTTTTTAAGTATAACAGAAGGAGAAGCTTTAACAAAGCTACTACACAGGTTGTTATCAAGAATCATAACAGAAAAGAACTGCAGGCAAACTTCTATTATGGTTTCACTGCAGGGAAAATAACTTAGGAATTCAAAATTTATTCTGCTTCTAATCATTCAGCAAAGAAAGGGATTAACTTGTTCTGTACCATCATTTATTCTATACACAACCTACACACTAAACAGATATTGAGTCAATGACAGGGAAATCTTGAAGATATGGATAACAAAAGGGGAAAACCAACAACCTTACTGTTAAAACTATTTTAAATTAAAAACTTCTGAAGTACAGCTCAGATTCTGCAAACCATGTAAAAATATGTTTAGACTCTTCTAAAGTTTTCATAAATTAGAACGTGGTCCTCTGGGAAAAGAGAAACTGGCCTAAAGGAAAAAACTTTGGCTCCAGAATCCGACTCCAAATCAGGCTCTACAGTGTATTAACTGAAAAGCTTCAGGCAAGTTACTGAACTTTTCTGAGCCTCAGTTTCTGCATTTATTAAAAGGGGCAACAAGACTTCACAGGTTATTGTTGTCTCCCACCCCCCCCCGCTTTACCTCCTCCCATTACCTCTCAGCCCACTGTATGAAACCCAAGAACCTACCCTTCCAAGAGGGCATCAAGACTAAATCCACCATGCTTCATATTCTCATTCCCTCCAGTCATCAACAGAAGGATAAGTCTTAAGCCTCTCTGGCCATCAAGCATCATCCAAACACTTCCATAATGCTCTGGATATTCCTTTAGTTTATCTTGATACCCACGCTTTCTCCTCTTTGCAAAAGCTTCCACTGGGCCAGAGGAGTACCCACCATATGATCTGCAAACTTCCTTATATCCACATTCACTTCTCTGAAAGCTCCCCCTCCTCCTCAACTACCTAAATCTTGTCTCTGCCTGGGGACATGAAGCCTCCTGAAATCCTTTCAAGCTGCATTTTCTTTTTCACACTTCACCAACCTCAGGTCATGGTCTTCCTCTCTATTCCAATACCTTCACATTCATTCAGCAGATATCTGAGCCCCTACGACATAGCCCCTAGGCATTGTGGGTGGGGAGAGGAAGTCCTAAGTAATGGAACAGACAAAATTCCTGGATGGGGAGACGAAATCCAAATGGAGAATACATAAACAAACAAGCAAATATATAATTTTAAATTGTGCTAAGATACATGAATGGTAAAACAGGAAGTCACAATGAGAATTTTGTGTGTGGGGGTGAATACTTAATTTAGATAGCATTCAGTGGCATTTTAAATGAAGTCTTGAAAGATAAGAGAGAACCAGGCAAGCAAAGAGTGAGACAATAAAGAACATTTCAGGCTGAGGTGACCCAGGGTCTTTCAGTTTCTAGGCCTCCTATCTCCAAAGACCTTTTCTTCCATGCCTCCTCAGCAACCCACATTCTGTGGTCACACCCTGTCATCAGCAGAACCGGAACACTTCTCAACTCACTGATTCAAACCAACCGTCCTCTAACAACTTCCGTTCCTTTTAGCTCACTTGTTCAGTAGCTCCAATCTTATCCAGAACTCTAATCCACTGATCAGTGTTTTCCACTGAACCTCTCTTCTCATCATCTTGACTTCACTCTCTTAATTTCTCTCATCCAATTTGTAATCCTCCTCTTACATACACATTTCATCCCTTGATCTCCCTTGTTCCTTCAAATTTCCATGGCAAAATCCTAATTGTCTTGACTTTCCTGTGACTATCCCTATACAGCTGAGAATTGCTGGACCCATCCCAGACAGACTGGAAACATTATAAATTAATAATCACTAATTTCAAGAGGCCTTATACACTCCCCAGCAATGTTCAATTCTCTAGCAGTTCTTTCCCTTACTCTCTGTATTAACTATTTAATGTCTTCTCCTCTCTCTTCAAAAGTCTTACTCCACTCCCATTCCTCCGAATACCCTGTTCTAATGGCTTTCCCTCCTTCCTCTCTGATTATTCCTTCTTAGTTTCTTATGTTGTCTCCTCTTCTGATCTAAAGATTGGATGTTCAGGATTCAAGACATGGGCTATCTACTCTCATTATTCTATATTCTTTCCAGGCAATTCCTATGACTTTAAATACTCTATATAAAGTTGCTAGGAGTTGGAATCAACTCGATGACAGTGGGTTTGGTTTTTTTGGTTTATATGCTAGTAACTATCAAATTTCCCTCTTGCCCAGACCACTATCCAGGATTGAACTACCATCCTCTCCTGCTGAGATTACTATAATATCACCTAATTAGTTTCCCTACAAATGGTTCAAGCCCCACGTAATAGCCAGAGTAATCTTTTTGAAGTATAAATCCGATCATGTCATTCGTTAGTTAAAACCCTTCAGTGACTTTCAAAGGCTCTCAGAAGAAAATCCTAAAACATGGTTTACAGGATCTTGCACAAGCTGGGCTCTACTTCCTTCTCTAACTTCATCTCCCACCACTCTCTTTTCTCCTTTGCTTACCAGGTTCTGTCCACGATGACCTATTTACTTCCTTGGGTGAGGACAAGCTTTTTCCCAGTCTTGGTATGTTCATATGCCATTCTCTCTCCAGCCTTTGCCTAGCTAACTCCACCATCATCCTTCAGGTCTTGGGTTAAACCTAACTTTCTCCGAGAAGTGTTCTTTGACCCCATAAACTCAAGTATGTCTCCACTTATCATCTATCAAATCACCCTATTCCTTTCCTTCATAGCACTTGATTGTTTTCCTTTGTTTCATAAAGTTGTACACGGATTTGTGTGTTTACTGATCATTCGTCTCCATCATTGAACTGTGAACTCTTCACACTATCTTATGCAGCAGATCTCTTATGTTTGCCTCTGTATATATACTCAGAGCACAGGACAGCATTTGGCTCATAGTAAAATCTCCGTCAGCATTAACTAAAGGAGGACTAAATAGAGTACTTCCTCTTTCCCTTTGAACAGGCTTAGATAAATGTAAATAAATGGGTTAGAATGGTGACCAGACAGCTGAAGACGCTGCCTATTGGCAGTAGACAACAGGGTCATTTCTCCTAGCCCAGTCTGCACTGACCAAGCATATCACAAAAGGAAAAGTAGTACCGACTGTGACCAATTAGACTTCTCTAATCTCAGTCCTGCCATGGGCAACTATACAACTCAGGAACCCATTACACTTTCTTAGAAAAATTACAATAATCTCTACTTCCCATTCAAGAAGATTGATTGAGGTTTCTCTGAAATTTTAGGAAAAGCTTCAACACACATAGATTTCCACACCTAGCCTAATAATAAGCTGGGAGAGTCATATATATATAACTTTCTTAATTCTGCTAAATTACACAATGAGTCAAGTATTATAAATAATAAATACTGTTGGCCTGTTCTAAAGTCTAGCATGCACATAGGGACATAGAAAGAGAAATCTTTTCTAGAGTACTTGAAAATACGCCAGTCTCTCTTTTTTTTCCCCCATGTATTTTTTTTTAAATTGAGATATAATCACATACCCTAAAAGTCACCCCTTAAAAATACACAATTTAGTGGTTTTTAGTATATACCCAAAGATATGCAACCATCATACTACCTAATTCCAGAACATTTTCATCACATCTCCCCTCAAAAAACCCATGCCTCTTAGCAGTCATTCCCCATTCCTCCCTCCTCCAACCCCTGGCAACCAATAATCTACTTTCTGTATCTATGGATTTTCTAGTCTCTTTTTTCACATTTGTGAAACTGAAGCCCAGAGAGATAAAGTGATTTGCACAGGGTTGCAGGGTTGCTTCATAAGAGAGCAAGGGCTAGAACACACATATTTACGGTTAACTAAATGTATAAAAAATGAGCAAAAGTATGTATAGCTCACCTATAAGACATCTGATGCATAAAACAGAGTCCTTAGAATAGTAGTTCTTAGGCAGTGTGTAGCTGGGGAGAGGCTGGGGGTAGGGGTGGAGTGCTAGTTAGAAATCACTGGAGAGAAAGTGAGATGGTACCGGTGGAAGGGTATTACACTTATGAACAGGGTGATACAGAAAGAAAGTAGAGAAGGACACGTTGAGCTACGTGATTTATAAGGCAGATGCATTTCTTTTCAGTCCAGGGTTTTGGAACTGGTGCTAATATGCCCAGGTGCCCACTCAGCACATTTTATGGTACCCTCAATGGGTCCCAGAGATCTCTGATCATTTCCGGTTTGTTCATGAGTAGTTAATGCAATAACAGAGCTAACATCACTTCAGAAGGTTGCTGGTTAATGATACCTTGCAAAATAATGCAGGAACCTTGTCTTTCTTATATTCTACTGTTTGCATTTTCAAATAAGTAGAAGAATTACAAGCTTAATTTACCACAGTTACCATTAATAAATATATACACAGGGCAGTAATCCAATGAGAATAAAATCATCAGAATCCATTTGCAAAAATAATTCAGCACACATTTTATTTAAATGTCTTAATCAACACTGCAGAAACCATTAATGGAAGAAGAAGTATGGAAATTGATAATCACACAGAAAAAAATTCATCGTTAAAAAGATTAATCTGAACCTCAACATTCGTTGTGCTCATTTTAAAACGTTATTAAAACAGCAATTCAAAAGGACAAATAAGTCAAAACCAAGTATTTTACGAATTAAAACTGAGACCTCCAAACCAACTAAAACAATACAACTTAAAAATAATCTCCTGACTTCAACCTAGAAAAGTTTTATTTGTCAACACACAATAAATATACTGGAACCTACCACTGGGTAGACAAACAAATTTTCTATTACAAACAGGTTATTCTGCATTACAGAGATTCTTCAGATGATCAGGTTTTTAAATAAAGACTGCTAAAATGTCTCTCGAATCTATTCATACAATTAACATTTAAAGTTGAAATCCTTGCCTACCAAATGTTCTACTAAAACTGTTATTAAATAGGCAAATTAACTTAAAAGGTCAATTTTAAATTGTCTACAGGAAAAGAAAACTTTGGTACCAATAAATTTAAATTAGAAAATCAAAATACATTTTGTATGTAGCTTACAGTATGTTTTGGGGGTTAAACTGGAACATGGCTATATACGGAAATGGGACATTCTTGTTCTTCTGTTATCTACACTGTTGTAAGTAATGAACAATCTAATCATTCTGAGTCATTGATACAAAGCACTTGTCTGAAGTTTTATCCAAAAAGATTGCTGGGTCACACCCAGCAAGTTAGAGCAAAATGTAAATATAGAATTAGGCACTTTATTTTTAAAAGCTGCTTCTCCATTTTGACAAGAGTAGCAAGACACTAGAAAAAAAATAATTCCAGTAAGGGTATCCAGACCATATCAATTTTAGTTCTACCACCCAATAGGGGGCTAACAAAAAGAACACAATTCAAAAATAGAAAGGGTGGCTTTAAAAAAAAAAAAAAGCAGACTGTGCAAGGGGAGAGGATGGATGGGTTTAGGAGAATACCTGCTGCCAATTAAACTTTTTGAAAAATCCAGAGCTTTATTATAAATCCTTCTTAAATTATACCCAGGGACATGCACAGTGCATAAGGAAGCTGGATCATTCTTCGAAAACTTTCAGGGTGCTAGATAACTTATAGAAATCATTAATACATTTTCATTTCAAGAGGCAAAACAGAAAATATGGACAATACACATCAATTTTCTTTTTTTCAACTATTCTAAAAAACTTCCTTAAAACAAGTCATTAAGTAAACACTGAAAACAACTTTATTTATGAGTACTTTGGATTACTTCCTTATAGAGCATAATGCTTTCCATAAATCTAGATCAAAGTGAAATAACTGAAATTTAATTCTAAATTCAGCCTATGGTTTCCAGATATGACACTGGAATAAAATCAGTAAAAAATACCCTTTTAAAAAAGTATATTTACTTCTCAAATAACTTAGTTTGGGCAATATTTATATTCTTAGAGTTTAAAAGGTTTTCAAAACAAAATTGATTCAACAGTTATCAAAATGAAATGAAAATAAACACAACAACATTCCACCCAAACCAAAATAAACCACTTTAGTTGAGCTCAACTCACTTAATTTTGTAAACTTTCTCTTTTCCAGCCTCATAACTGGACTATACATTGCTCAACAATATTACCTATGTTAAAAATGTTAAAAGTGAAGAGATAAAAAGTGTTGTAAAGATTGCACAGTGACTGAATCTGAGAAGGACATAATATACAGTCATAACATTTCAAAGCTAGTAGGGATCTTCAAAATATAATCCAGCACCCTCATTTTACAGATGAGGAAACTGAGGCCCAAACACACCAAATGACTGAAGTCCTCAGATAAGCCATTCATTCATTCAGTCACTCAACCACTTACTGAAAACTGCTAAGTGCCAGGCTCAGCACTAGTTGCTGAAAATAAGCTGGAAGGCAGCTCTTCCAATTACCAAGGCAGTTCATTTTCTGTGACATCTTAGAAAAAATACTTAAATTTTCTAATCCGTAAGAACTCATACAAGAGTACTGCAGCCCTTGGAGAACCTGGTCCACTTTCAGTTTCACACATTTCAGTAACACAGTTGGGTTTAACTTCAGAGAGGCCTCAGCTGTGTTTACTTTAAATAATTAAACAATAACAAAGGGAGGAACAGTATCCTGAATGAGTCCCTTTCCAGTACATTTATAACGCAAGGAAGTACAGTCAGAAAATGCCCTACACACACAAAAAAGTTCACAGAGAGGACAGCTCACAGAGTCAGAGTGATTTGAGGTATCACAAGAGATCAGTAAGTCCAATAGCTCAAGTTTACAAAGTGTGGAATGTAAATGACTCCCCACTTCATTCAGATGTGTGTATATTTTTCTGAGATGTCTGCATGGTAAAAAGACGTGCAAACTCACATTCAAACTAATAACCTCTTCCATGATACATACACCTAAACCAGTCCTTTTTCCATCAGATGAACTTTCTTTGATTTCTATTTGATTAAAAGAAAATTAGATTAAAAAAATAAAATCTAAAATTCAATGCGCTGGCTAAAAAAATTAAAATTCTATATATAACCAAAAGAGCATTAGTTCAAACTACACGTTTATAAGTTTTTTTTTTCCTTTTTTTAAATAGGACATACAGTGAACTACCCATCACCATAAACCATACCTCATTTTGCTTAGATTTTTACATTCTTTAACATTAAGTCAGGCACTTAAATGTTTTGTGCATCTCAATTCACAGTCACTTCTTTGAGGCTATGTCAGGGACCATATTGACAAAGCTCTTAAATAAAACAACCCATAAGTAAGGCACCTTGAAATATTAAACAGCAGCACTCTGTGCACCCAGTTTCAGTGTAATATACCAAAATGAACCACAGTTTTTACAGAGCTCTCCAGATGACTGTTAGGTGATTTCTGATAAAATGCAATCTTCACTGAGGCTCTGTGAAGGCTCTTTGACTTTCCTGAAGCTATTGTCAGCTCATGACCGAAGTGCAGTTTGTACTCTCCTACTTCTCAAACCTCCAGATCTGATTTTTATCTAGAGCATTGCAAGTTCTCATTTGTACACTGGGCCGGCCCTCAGGTGTCCGATAAGCACTCAGACACAGTCCCGAGTGTGGATGAAAAATGGTTCCATCTTCTTTAAAATGCCAAATAATGTTTGCTGGAATAGGGAACCCATCTTTAGGACAAGTCTGCATTCCGACATAATTCTTTTGCTCAGGGACTGTTGCACATAACTCCGTCACAGAATTAAACCTTATTTCTTTGTTTGAAGTGTATTCAAAGAATTGATTTCCTCCTTGGCCATGGCATCCAAACAGTGAAAGGTTAGCACCTGTGGGGTTGTTGTCAGGAGAATTATAATCTAAACATTCAGAAGAAATCCCAATACTGTGAACAGCTCCATGCCAGCCTGGCCTATCCTCTGGAACATGTAAATTAGAAAACACATTTTTCAAATACCAGTCGAAGCTCTTGCATCTCAGCCGTTCTCGTAGTAATTTTCTTTCAGAAATATCACCATAAGCTTCTTTTCTTGCTGGAGGGTTTCGATTATAGAAATGCTGTTTGTACTCATCCATCCATACTTCTGCAGCTCGAGCAGTATTCTGTAGGAAATTGGGCCTAGCATATGGTGCCCGCTTTGGGAATACATGGCCCACATGGGAACACGGGTGGATCTCCAATTTACCACCACACTGCCACACCCTAAAAGACAGTTCTAGGTTTTCGCCTCCCCACACTTCCATTCCAGTATCATAGGTTCCAAGGTACTCAAAATATTTCTTGCTGACAGCAAACAGTCCTCCAGCCATGGTGGGTGATCTGATAGGGTCAATTCTCGAAGACCTCCTGTCCCTTTCATGTTTGGGGACAGAATGCCACTGGAACGTTAAACGCCAATCAAACCCACCAATCATGGGCTCCCCCGTCTGCATGTAAAATTCAAAAGTATTCCAATCAATGGTGTCTATAACAGGACAAACAATTGCTGTTTCATCTTTACTGATCCTTTCCAAAAGTGGTTCAAGCCAACCAGATGTACATTCACAGTGACAATCTAGGAAAGTGAGGACATCTCCCGTGGCAAAAGTGGCCCCAATCAGGCGGGCCCTAACTAGCCCTTCTCGCTTTTTGGTTCTTATCAAGCGGACTCTTTCGAGATTGCTGATGTAACTTTCAAGCTGTGCCTTCAAATAAACTCTGTCACTCAAGTCATCGACCAAGATGATCTCCTTCAAAAGGACTGCAGGAGAAGTTTCTAAAACACTGTGAATGGTGCGGAGCAAAGTTGACCAGGCTTCATTATAGAAAGCTATGACAACCGAGGTGGTGGGAAGTCTTCTGTAGTTGAACTTCTTGGATTTACACTCGTGCATTCTTTTATCTTCTATATGACGGTGCAGGGATATCCTGTCACTGAGGTAAATATTGATGGCATATCTCTCAATGAGCTCTTCTACCTTCTTCAGTTCACCCTCACTGAGCTGCAGTTTGCTGGCTTTCCCCCACTCCCCCAGTGCATAGGAATCAGCATGGGGCTTCTCATACAGTGGTCGAGACAAATCCTCTGCCTTTTTCTCAGAGTCAGAGAGCTGTCTTTGCCACTGCTCCCTGACAAGGCTGGCTCCTCGGGAGGAATGGAAAGTAGAGACGGAGAGCTCCACTACGATATAAGCCACTGTTAAAAGCGCTAGCAGCAGGCAGCTCTTGACTGCCCAGGTCCACCTCACGGCCATCCGGATCCTCATGGCTGGGGCGCAGACGCGGCCACGAAAGCCACCATGAAGAGGAAGGGCTGTGGGACCCGCAGCTTGAGTTCCTGGCTCAGGTAGTAGTGTACTTCTCAGCAGTTCCCTCTTTTTAAGGCAGGCTCTCGGCTCCCCTCCAGCCACTGAGACTTTCCTGGGGTCACCTGAGATCTCTCGGTCCTGGGCCTCCGGCACAGCCCCAACTTTTCTCTCCCCACTTCCTCCTGCTCTCTCACAACTTTTCACAAACTCTCCAGCCAACACCCCACCCTCCTTAGGCCGAGTACAAACCCCTCCCCTTCCCACTCACTCCTCCTGGTGGTTAGTTAGCGAAATTCCTCCGCGAGGACCTGGCCGAGGGCGGTTTTGTGGGGCTCGGACGGGAAATGGGGGCCAGGATTATCGAGATGTCCCCAGCGGGGACCGACTGGCGCCCCCGCTTGGCCCGTCACGCCAGGTTCCACGCGTCTCCGAACTCTCTCACTCCCCGTGGGTCCCAGGTGGTTCTCCACCGGGGGACTCAGCCTAGACAGGAGGAAAGTTTTCCCGCCAGTTGAGCTTCTGTCTCGTTACAACAGGAAAAAAGAGAGAGAGAGAGAATAAAACTTACCAAGTTGTTTGCAATTGGGGCTAAAGTCCATGGAGGTGATAGCAGCTTTGTGGCCTTTAAAATAACGCTCCAGAACGGGGTCCTCCTGGGAAGGAAAGTTGTCAGGTTTTGAAAGCTGGTGCAGACCTCCAATTTGGGAGGCTGGGGGTCAACGCTGCCCCCTCCCACAGGGTCCGGCCTGGGAACGGCCCAGTAGGTGGTGGGTTTCCGAAGCAGGAGTGCCCACCGGGGCCCACGATGGGCGCGGCGCCCCGTACCCGGGCATGGAGACGCCGGGCACCTACTTCACCCGCAGAGCCGGCAAAATCTCTCACTAGCGCTTCCCAGACTCCAGCGCGCCCAAGGGACCACCTGGGCAGCTCGTTTAAAATGCACATTCCCGGGCCCCGCCCGGTGGCAAGGAGTCGGCAGGTACCGGGCTGAGCCCCGGCTTCGGGACTTTTAAAAAACCTCCCAGGTGATTCTGACGCAGGCACTCCACGAAAACCCTTAGAGAATTCTGAGGGCGACGGTGCCGCCCGAGCTCGGTCCGGAGCTCTGGGACGCGGGGAAGAGCGCCCGGGAGTCCGACAAGGGCTCGGTGCTCCCTGCTGCCTTTATCGCCCCCGTCGTCGAGGGTGGGACGCGGACGCCCGGAGTCAAGAGACAAGAGGCTCGGGTCCGAGCTGCGGACACCTGCGTCCACCTCCCGCCAGCTGCGGGAGCGGCCCCGACCTGGACCCGCAGCCTGCGGGGCCGGCTCCGGGGAAGCGCCCCCAATCTGTCCTTACCGGGGAGGAGGCCATGGGGGCAGCGGTCGGCGCCGGGCTCCCGCCGGTCGAGGGGAGAGCGGGGAGGGAGGGGACGGGGCTGGAAGGGGGACCGTGAGACGCCCGGAACCGTCTGCCTAGAGCGCGGGCGCCTCCCGGTCACTACAACAACGGCGGCCCAGTCAAACCCCGCGCTCCAGGCGTGGCCAGCAGAGCACCGAGGCCTTGCCAGAGCCGGAGAAACCCGAGGCTGGGCCGGCAGACAGATGGAACGCATGGGGGTCAGGCGCCACCGTACACCGAAGCCAACGTTTAACACTTGTGCTGCCTTCGCTTGACGCGGGGAAGTGTGTTTGTAATCAGGATGGGATGAGATCGTGTTGGGGGGAGGGGGGAGTAGGCGGTCTATGATCGATGCAGTCGGTATTCTATTTTATGTTAAAGAGACAGCGCCTGCGCGTTTCAACTTGTTTGCGGAGTGAGGGGGCTTTGAGCTGAAGAGAAACTGCTTGCTAGTTATTAATATGCTCAAAGGAATTAAACCCCTGGAGAACAGGTTTGAATTTATTTCAGCACTATGTTTCACATGGTGCCCTGCGTGGTATATAGATGCTGAATACACGTATTTGATGAATGAATGAATGTTGTGCATACACTTAATGTTTTTTCTGCTGTTTCTATTCTCATCTGCTCATTTGCGTATGCTTAACAGCAGCATATTTACACAGCAGCATATTTAAAGTCTTTAGAAAGAAAAATCTTTTCTGTTTTGTTTAAATTCTTAGCCAGCCAGTAACTGTAACCGTTTTTTATACATAATATCACTTGTGCTTCAGTAACACTGTGAAGTTGGTGTAGTTAGAAAATGTTATCAACGGTTACAAATTATAAACTTGATTCTTAGATATTTTACATATAGTTGTCACATGCAGATAGCTTTTCCAATTTGAAGCCCATATCCTTTTTTACCCTGCCTCAAAGGATGAAAGACTCAGTTGAAAATTACGTATAGAATAAAGACTTTTAGCAGCATAAGATGACATAAGAGACCACAACTGGTAACATGTATGTTTTGTGTGCAAATAAAAGTATACTAAACACTTTAATTACAGGTTCTCTAGTTGTCTAGTGATAGACTTTAGTTTTAACGGGTATAGTACATAGCAATTTTGCAGATAGGAAATAGCTTTAGATTACAGTATTGGTTTAACTCAGGCGCATGTTTATTGAATATAGCTGCTGTACGTTTGGCCCTGAGGGGTACAAACCAAACTAAACTCGTTGTCCTTGAGTCGATTCCATTGTCTTCAAGTCTATTCCTACTCATTGTGACCCTATAGGACAGAGTAGAATTGCCCCATAGGGTTTCCAAGAAGCGCTGGTGGATTCAAACTGCCAGCCCTTTTTGGTTAACAGCTGAGCTCTTAACCACTGCGCCACCAGGGCTCTGAGGGATACAAAGAGGACTGAAATATTGTCCCTTCCCTTAAAGACTCAGCAATCTAAGTTTGCTATTGATTCTCTGTCTAGGTTTGACTTTTTTAAAAAGGCTCACATGCTTTAAAATAATGCTAGAAACTCTGAGAGTGAACAAGACCCCTGGGTCTCTCACTTTGTTCCAGCCAAGGTATATCTAGTATTAGTACAGCAGATTAATAGGAAAAGGAAGAAAAAGCTGGAGATTTAGAAAAAGCTCAAAAGAAAAGAGAATTTTTAAGTGCATATCTTTCTCCGTTTTTTCCAATTAACAAAATACACATTTTTAATTCAATAGAAAAAAACACTTGTTGTCCTATCACTTAAAGGTTAATCTTTAAAAAAAAAAAAAAGTATCATTTACCTATTATGTGCTCACTACATGCGAGGCAGTCTTAAGTACTTTGGAGATTTTTCCTTTTAATCCTCACAATAGTCATTTTACCAAAATCAGCTGCCACGAATCAGCTGCCACATAACGACCCCATGTGTGTCGGAATAGAACTGTGCTCCACAGGGTTTTCAATGGCTGACTTTTCAGAAGTCAATCACCAGGCCTTTCTTCTGAGGCACCTCAGGGTGGACTTGAACTTTCAGTCTTTTGATTAGCAGCTGAGCATGTTAACCGTTTGCACTACCCAGGGACAGTCTATTAGAGAGGTGCTACTACTGTCATATTTCCATTTATACAAATGAGGACGTCGGCATGCAGAAACGTAAGTATCTTGCCCAAGGCACACAGCTAGGAAGTGGCAGAGCTTGGACTTTTGAAACTCAACAGCCTGGCTCCAGAATCCACTTTTCAATCGCTAAGTTAAGATGATTTTTGCATGAGTGCAAGCATATTATAAATATGTAACATTTGCTGTCCTAGCAATGATTATGGAAATGGCGCAGGACCTGGCAACGTATTGTTCTGTTACACATAAGGTCGCCATGCGTCAAAGCCACTTGACAGCAGCTAACAACAATGACAAGCAAGGAATTAATAGTAAATTTTACAAAAAGGAAAAAAAAAGTATCTCTTTTTTCCATTCCAGTATTACTCCAATCTACCCTACCCATGGTTCTTTTCCATATTTGATTTCACTCTCTTTTGCTTTTTCTCTCCTTTTACAAACACCAAAAATTCAGAGGTGGACATTTGGAAACACGGCACACCAAGGAGAAGATTCTCCTAACCTCAGGCCTGCTTGAGTTCATGCAATTCCTCTTGCTACAGTGATTATTTGAGACCACTCAAAGTTGTAAACTGATCATTAACCTAGATGGGAGCCACAGTTAGGATCAATATTTGAAAACCTACAAGGTATCATTGGAGACCAAAACTAAAAAACCAAACCCATTGCTGTTGAGTCAATTCCAACTCATAATGACCTTATAGGACAGAGTAGAACTGCCTCATAGGGTTTCCAAGGAGTACGCCACCGGTCCGCCTCAAACCAGAAATTGAATATAACCACTTGAGCACTATAAAGGGCTGTTTTATTTCAGTACAAGTCATTCCTTGCTTAGTGGCCTTCGAAATTTGAAATTTCAGGCATGGCACAAAAGTGCCATCTACTGTTCACATCACTATGTGGCACCTGAAGTGAAGTAATGATGTTTTGTGGCCTGTTTACAAGCAGTTTAACTCTCTTCCTGATATAGTTGCTCTAAAGTATGAGAAAGCATATAGCAAGGAAAAGTACCAGATCAGTTTGAATCATTAAGGCATTAGCATAATTTTTTTAGATAGAGACTGATTTACTTCAATCAACAGTCTCCAAATTCTGTCAATTATCTCCTCAAAATATGATTTATCTTCCCAACGTGCCCGTGTGACTCCTGCCCCTCAACAGTCCCTTTTTGTCTCCCTCTTAGAGTATTTCAGTAACCCCTAATTTGCCTTCCTACTTCAAGTCTCCCTCCCTGCCTGTCTATTTTGTATACTTCCAACAAATTCTTAAGAGCTTTAGTAGCTTACTAAATGTACAGATTCTTGGGCCCCACCAGAAGTTTTAACTTAGAAGGTCTGATGTTAATATTAGAAATCTGTATGTTTTCAAATAAGCTTTCTGGGTGATTAGAATTTGCATCAATAAGTCATAACCACTGGGCAAATCATGTTACAGGCTTTCTTTAAAATGCACTTTGTTTAAGACTTAAATTTAAAATCAAAAACAATAAAGATCATGGAAGAAAAAATAGGGACAATGCTAGGAGCCCTAACACATGGCATAAACACAATATGAACCATAAGTTAACAATGCACAAGCACTGGAAGAGAGACTAGATAATGGAGCTCCTAAAAATCAAACACTTATGCTCATCAAAAGACTTCA